AGGAATGGTACAGGATTTTGTAAAAATTTTGGAATTAAGTGGAGGAGAAGCTGGTTTAGAGTATCCAGATTATGAAAGAGATCAAATGAGGGCTCTCGATATGTTGGCAGCCCATTATGTTTTGATGGTTTTATTTCTTTTTAATTTTCCAAAAATCCTTTTTAATTTTTTTAAGGGAAATAAGGAAAGAAACAAAGAAAAACGCAAAGAATGGTTTACACGTGCCACACTTCTTTACACAACAGCCGATAAAATAATTATGTATGATCAGAATCATTTACTCGGTCGAGCATATTTTTGCCTTCTTGAAGGAAATAAGGTTGAACAAGCTGATGCTCAATTTTCTTTTGTTATGAATCAAGTTTTTTATTCTGTTAACATTTCAAATATTTATTTTAAAATTTTAAAGGCACAAATGGCCAATGATGGAAGAGTAATTCCAGCAATGATGGGAAAAGCTTGTATTGCCTTTAATAAAAAAGAATATAAAACAGCACTTCAATATTATAAACGTTGTTTACGATTAAATCCAAATGCCCCAGCAGATGTCCGTGTTGGTATGGGTTATTGTTTTGCAAGACTTGGAAGGATGGATAAAGCAAGGTTTTTTTAATTTACTTAAAATTTTGTTTTTTATTAAAAGGCTGGCTTTTGAACGAGCATTACAATTAGATTCAAAAAATGTTCCTTCAATTGTTGCTTTGGCTGTTCTCGATTTAAATATTGGCACTCCAGAAGGTATTCGAAGTGGAATTCAAGCTCTAGGTCTGGCATATCATCATGAACCAGAAAATCCTATGGTTTTGAATCATTTGGCAAATCACTTTTTTTACAAACAGGTTTTTTTTATTTCCTTTTTAAATGACTTAAAACACTTTAGGATGTTGACAAGACATTTAATTTGGCTCAAGTTGCCCACCAATTGGCTGATAATGATTTGATGAGGGTTTGTTAATTAATTATTATTATTAACAACCTCCACTTATCTCACTAGTATTAAGCTTGATAAAGAGACAAAATAGAGTGATCATAAATTATATCTAGGTTTTGGTTAGAGAACTCATAAAATTTATTAAGATAACACATTTTATATCTTTTCTATTTTTTTAAATTTATAGGCTGAAAGCATGTATCACATGGTAAGTTTTTTTAATTGATTTTTACCTTTAAATTATTAAATTAAATCAGGCCCGTTGTTATCACAAAAAATTGGATTATCAACACGCTTTTCAATTTTACTATCAGGCCACAACTTTATGTCATCTTAAATTTGTACTCCCTTATTATGGTCTTGGTTTAATTTATATACATCGAGAAGACTACGAAAATGTAAGATTTAAAACTTAATAAAAACATGAGCTTGTATGCTTGTAGTAAATTAGATTGTACATCAAGGGTGTATCCAGAGGCTGTGGGATCTTGCCCTATATCCCCCCTCGTTAAATAACGAAACGTCGTAAATGCCAAAAATAATTCAATTTTAAATATCTAAGGCAATTTCTGCATTTGAGAAAATTCTAAAAACAGTACCTAATGACTTGGATACACTTGCTGTTCTTGGTTCTCTTTATGTTAATGTCCAACATAAAGATCCAAAGATATGTGCTGAACGACGAGAAAAGGCTAGAGAATATCTCAAAAAAGTAGTTGAAAGTCAAACAGATAAACCACCAATTGAAGCTTTAATTGAACTTGCACAATTATTAGAACAATTAAATCCACAAGAATCATTACAGCTTTATTTACGTGTTGCTACTCTTTTAAAAGAAGAAATTGGTGTTGATATTCCTGCAGAAATTCTTAATAATATTGGTTCTTTACATTTTATGTTGAATGAATTGGATGAATCTAAAGTATTAAAAATTTAAGAATATTTTCTTTTTAATATTTAAAAAAATTTAGAAATATTTTCAAGAAGCTAGAGATCATATAGTATCTGAAGGAATGGAAAATCTTAATGATGAGGCAGCGGCACTTTTAATTACAATTAGTTATAATCTTGGAAGAGTAAATGAACAACTTGGTCTGCTTGATGAAGCTGAGAAGTTGTATAGAGATATAATTAGACAAAGGCCAAATTATATGGATTGTATGTTAATTGTTTGTTAAATTAAATTAGAAAAATAATTTTTAGGTATTCTTCGATTGGGATGCTTAATTCGTGATAAAGGTGATTTACATAATGCTTCAATGCTTTTTAAGGAATCGATGTCTGTTAATCCAACACATCCAGATCCATGGACTTTAATAGGAAATATGCATATGGCTAAAGAAGAGTGGGGGCCTGGACAGAAAAAATTTGAACATATTCTTAAATTGACAAATAATACGGACGTTTATAGTTTTGTTGCTCTGGGAAATATTTGGTTAGAAATGCTTTTCTCATCAAAAACTCGCGAAAAGGTTCTAAATATATTCATTTTAAAAATGTTCACCACTGACTTTTACTGGATCCTGGGCCTATAGTTCAGAAAAATTTAGGTCAATTTAAAACTAAAAAATCAGAAACTGGCGGGGTTTGAACGATTTCAGGAAATCCGCTAACACATAAATCATATCCAGCTTGATTTCTATGCAAAATAGAACCAATTTAAAAATAGTTCAATTTTAAAATATTCTTAAAATATTTTAAAGGATGCATTATATCGTGATCGTGCTCTCAGTTACTACACAAGAGTCATAAAACTTCGTCCTCACAATATTTGGGCTGCTAATGGTGTTGGATGTGTACTTGCACATAAAGGCGCTTTCCTTGATGCTCGTGATATTTTCTCACAAGTTCGCGAAGCTACTGCTGATTTTCCTGATGTTTGGATTAACATAGCTCATATTTATATGGAACAAAAACAATATGTCAGTGCTCTACAAATGTACAAGAATTGTATGACAAAGTTTGATAGAAATAACGATATTCAATTAATGGGATATATTGCAAGAGCTTATTGGAAAGCTGGAAAAATTATAGAATGTAGAGATTATATTGAAAAGGTATTTTTTATAATTGTTAATAAAAAAATTTAAAAAAATTTTTAAGATTTTACAAGAAGAACCAGATAAACTTGTTCATCAATTTAATCATGCAGTTGTTTTACAAAGAATGGCAACACAAGTATTAAAAGATGTTAAATCTAATTTGGAAGCAGTTACAAATGCTGTAGAAGATTTAAAAGTTGCAGAAAGGTAAAATAAAAAAATATTTTTTTGAACTTTTTTTTTATTTAGAACATTTAAATCAATTGCGAGTACACAACCTGAAATTGTGGCAAAAGCAAAATATATTAGTAGAACAATTTGTGCAAATGAAGCACAATCATGTACAGATTTAACTAAACAAGCAAAAGTTTATTTAGAAAGAGCTCAACAAAAAGATGAAGAAGAACGCCGTCAAAAAGCTATTCAAGAAGAGCAAAGACAAAGAATACTTAAACAGCAACAAGAAGAAGAGAGTCGTAAACGAGAAGAAAATATTCAAAAATTAGAAAAGTTAAAACAGTTGCGAGAAGAATATAAAGATAAAACTAAAGAAATGTTGAAGCTTAAACAAGTAATAATAAATAAATTTTTAAATAATTATTCTATAATACAATTTAAAAATAGCTCCGTGAAGAAAAACGTCCGGCGCGCGTGTCCACACATAAGAAGAGAAAAGAAGGTGGTGAAGCTGAAGATTTTGTTAATGACAGTTCTGATTTGGGTGAATATGACGAAGAACTTCATGCTACATCTTCTCGAAGAAAATTGAAACGTCGACATCGTGAACGTGGTGGCGAAGAAAGTGAAGAAGAGGAAGATGATACTAATGTGGGGAGAAAGACAAAAGTTTCTGAGAGGAGACGTGCAGAAAGAGAAGATGAAATGGTGCCAGCACGTCAACGTGGAAAAAGTTCGTATATTTATAAGATTAAGTTTACTAAAAAATATTATTTATAGTCAAGAGTAAAGCGTTCCTTTCTTCATCATCTTCATCCTCTTCTCCATCACCCACGCGTAGAACTGAAGGACAGAGTTCAAGTGGTGATGAGGAGGAGGCTGTTCAACAGCAAGAAACAGAAAATGCAAGTTTTGTTGAGGAAAATAAAAATGAATCGGACAAAGAGGAGGGGGAGAAAGAAGAGGAAGAAAAAGAAGAAAGTGACGAAGGAAATGAAGAGGCTCAACTACAGGAGTCAGAGCATTCTGCTTCTGAAAAGGAAAATGAAGTGGAATCTGATAAAGAAGAGGAGGAGGTAAATAATGAAGAAGAAAGTGAGGGAGGAGAGCCTGAACTTAACGAGGGGGAAGAACCTGAACAACGTTCACCTTCTGCTGAAAAAGATGAAAATGAATCTGAAAGAGAAGAGGAAGAACAAGAGGATAATGAAGAAGAGGTTGAGTGAATTACTTATAAAATGAAAAAAATATTCAAATTATTTTGAATTTTGGCACATTATTATTTTATTTTATGTAAAGATTCATTTTTGTTTTTTTAATGATTGTGATTTTTATTAAAATAAAAAAAAATTAATTTAATAATTAATATAAAATAATAAAAATATCAAAAAGAAATGCATATATTGCACATATTTTCCCAATTGTTTAATTTTTTATAATGTCTGCCTAAGTTGTCGGCGTTCAATAGACATACAAGTAACAACCAAAAGCATTACTAATAAAAGTCCAGCGCATAAACTTGCTGGGAATGCCAAATCTTCAATTGGCACACAACGAGTTGGTGATGTAAATTTTCTTTGATTTAATAAATCTATCCGCCTCAATTCTTGATTTCCATTTTTGTTGTTTGAGAAGGAACGTTCTAGTCCATAACCTTTAATTTTTATTTAATCAATTCAAAAATTAAATTTAAACCAATTTCTGGGTCTAAAACATCAACTTCTTGTGCACGTACATCAATTTGTGCAAAACCTTCATTTTCGTTAGTAGCTGCTGATAATTCATTTGTTAATGATCTTGTTAGTCGAGGTTTTTGTTTTGATAGATCTTGACATTTTGGTATCAAAAATTTAAAAAAATAATTGTTTTATTGACTTGAAGATTAAATTTACCGGGCATTCCCCATCCCGAATATCTAATCTAATTGAACATTGGAAATTTACAACAACACGATCAGCGAACTAAAAAAGATTAACTCTTATTCACAAAAATTTTATTACAACCTTAAAAGCGTGTGCTTCTTTTTGTGCTTGTAATGGACCTGGGCCATATTCCAAATTATCTAATAAATATCTATCAATTGCACATCTAATTAAAAGAAAGACTTTTTTCAAAATAATTTTTATTAACAAACCCTTCATCTGTAAGAATTTGAAATTCAGTTCCAGATCCATCTTCAACAAAACAAGAATGTACAACCATACACCAAAGATCTGTAGCTGTTGATTCGCATGTCCTTTTAAAATAATTAAAAAATTCTTTTATTTTTTCTTTATAATTATTTCCCATTAATTTAAATAGAGAATTTATTAAAAATATTAAAATTATCTTAAAAGTTACTAATAAAAAGGGAGAACTCAATTTAAAAGTATTTGAAATTCAGTTCCTTTTTTTGTCCAATTGGGATACCAAAAAAAGATTTGGGATAATAAATGAAATAGTTGGGGTTCTAGGGCTGTCAAAAATATTGCCCCAAAAATGTATATAGGTTTTAGAAACTCCCTCCTTAATTAAAATAATTGTAAATTAACTAATTTTAAATAGAAAAAGGAAAGTAAAACAATAAAACGAAGAGAAAAGATACGCGAAAATAAAATTTTTGAAAAAAGGAAAGGGGGGGGGGGGAGAGACAATCCTTTAAATTACAATTAGATTTATTTAATTACCATTTATGTAATAATTTATTTCCAACAGAAACAACACTAACAGGTTCTTGTGTTGTTGGATCAACAACTTCATATCTACATCTAGGCATTTCTGCAAATTCAGTAAATGGTTGTAAAGTATTTGGTTCGACAGAAATTGGGAAAGTAACTGTTTTGGCTGCTTCCATATAAAAACAAGAAATTTCATAACCCTTTTTTTAAATTATTATTTAATTTTAAATAATATCAATTTACTCTATCAATTTTTGTAATAAATTCTTCATGAAAACTAATCATTATTTTTACATTAACAAATAATCCTGGAGGATTTTGCTTAAATTAAAAAATATATTTTTTTTAATTTTCTTCAAAAATTTCAAAAACCGAGCGTATAGTTACAACCCCGCAATTATCTTTTTTAACAATAATTGATGTCGATTTTTTGCCAATATCACGAGAAGAACATCCAGTCTCATTTGAATGGCCAACAACAAAAACACGTCCCTTTAATTTAAAAAAACAATTTTTTACAAAATAAATTTTCAAAAAATTACTTGAAATAGATCCTCTGTTAAAAAGACTACTTCAATTTCTTCTTGCCCACATTCTACTTCTGCTCTCCCTTTAAAAATTTATTTTATTTATTTAAATTAATTCTCTTTTAAAATTTAAAAAAAATTTAATAATCTCACCCACTTGCCCATTAGGTATAGGAATTTGAATAGTTGAAGGTAATAATAATAAGAAAATTAATAATAAATTAGAAAATATTGTAGTTTTATTAAATTGTTGTTTAAATTTAATAATTAATTGTAATAACATTTTTTTATTAAAACTTTTTTTTAATTATTAAATTAAAATTGTTTAAAAAAATTTTTTATTTACAAAAACTAATTAAAATAATCCAAATTAAATGCAATCTTTTTAATAATTGTCCCAAAAAATTTTTTTTAATTTTATGAATATTTATTTTGTTTAATTACCTGGGCGTGTTTGTGTGAAGACTATGTAAAGTAAAAATGTCCAAATATTTTCTTTAAAAACTTGAAATTATTTTTTTGCCTTTTTTGATTAATTGGACGATTTTTTTAAAGAAAGGAGGAACAAAGTTTTTCAGAGAAAAAGCTTGAAGAAAAATTTAGGAGAGAGAGGGAGAAGGGATTTAGGCGATTATCATTTAAAAAGAGATTGATGATGAACGGGTCCCACACACATAAACAAATATGCCTTACTTTAATTATTGCATTGGCTTTTGGTTGGGGGGAGGCTTTTTTGATAAATTATATGTGTGTATTGTCTGCGAGCGGATATATTTATTTAATTATTTTCTGTGTGTGGCTGGTTGGTTTGGTTGGTCATTTTTCTTGTTGGAACAATGTTTGAACGTGTTGGAGAAGAAAAGAAGAAGAAGATGATTATTGCTGCCTTTTTTCGATATTTTTATTTTTTATTATATTTTCTCTACTGATAGGCGGAAAACTCAATAAATAAAAAGAGAAGCATTGAAAAACTTTTAAAAAAGATATAAAAATATAAATATCTTTTAATAAGCTACCTCTTACATATAAATAGTTTATTTATAAACAAGGGAAGAATTGACCAAAAATAAAAGAAAAGTTTTTGAACCGGAAATATACATGTGTATAAAAATTATACATAAATAATTAGAAACATAATATTTTTAGTAGTTAAATTATAGATGATATATGTATGTAATATAAAATAATTTAATTTTTTTAAATAAGTATATTAAATAAAAAAGTTTATTGATATAAACAAGAAAAAGGAAGAAATCTGGCTTCGCGGCCTTCCAAAATTCTCAAAATTTTTGCCTTCGGCATAGAAAAAAGAAGAATCATAACCTTGAAAAAATCTCATTTAATTTCTTCCAATGTTATGATCTGTTTATTTCTGATCCCGATTTGTTCAACTAAATTAAAGCTAGTGAAAATATGCAGAATAAAGCTTAAATTATGATTATTTTTAAGTGTAAAAATAATACCTCCTTTTTGTCCTTTTTGGCCAATTTCGACCGCTTCTTGAGAAATCATGCTCTCTTTTGATGATTTGTAAAGGGACGGACACCTTGTTTTAAATATACCCGGGCACTTTATCTGTGATCCTAATTACTCAATTTAGAAAAGCTAGTGAAAAATATGCTTAATAAAGCTTTTTATTTGAAAAATATAATAATGCCCTATTTTTACATATTTTAGTGTTTTGAAAGGGCCACCCACCATGGTGCATGTAGAATCGCTTTTGGCCAAGTAATTAATCTGCGACACAAACGATACCCTCTGAATACTCAGTAATTGCATTAAATCCGAGAGCAAGCAACGGTGCGGTTTTGACATGAAGGTATGTTTCAAGGCTTCTATAATTTATCGGAGGGGAATCAATCCGGTTCCCTGGTTTCACGGCCTAGTATATCTATAAAAGGATAAAATTTTCAGTGATAGTTACCACTCAACTCTCTTTACAACAGAGCTCATCATCCTTCTCTACAATCAAAGTGCCTGCTGCTCGTCGACCATTTTACAACCAACAGTGCCGTTCGTTCTCCTTCGCATTCAGTGCTCTGCTCGCCAACAACTTCGTTGCAATGTCAGTCCGTCCCAGGGAAGGCGATCTGAATGTCCGCGCAGGCTTCATCTTCGAGTCGGAGAGGTACAACTACAAGCTGGAGGAGCTGATTGGCGATGGTGGTTATGGACAAGTGTATGAGGCCGACGCCATCTCAAAGGGAAAAAAGCAGGACACAAAGCGACTCGCGATCAAGCTGGAGCGACGTTCAGGAGCAACAGACATCGAGGCTCGCGTGCTTGAAACAGCAAAGGATAAGAACTGCCGCCACATTCCGAAGATTTTTGACAATGTATGTTATATCGTGTTTTTAATTTTGGTCAATCTAACTGATTTTAATTTTTAGGGGGTTATTCAAAGTCGAGGCTGCTCATTCATTGCGATGGAGCTTAAGGGACGCGACCTGTACAGACTGCGGAAGGACCGGAACAATGGCAGTTTCACACTCGGGACAGCTGTGCGTGTTGCTCTTGTCACTCTTGAGGTATAAGATTTTGCCTTTAAAAAATTCTTAGTGTAATAATTTGTATTTTTATTTTTTAGGCCATCAGGGAACTCCATGAAGTATGCGGCTTCATTTCAAGGGATATCAAGGCGGGGAATTTTGTCACAGGACAAACGACAAGCGACGATATACGCAACATCTATCTGATTGACTTCGGCCTGTGTCGGCGGTACAAGGACGCGGTGTGTGCCTCAGCAGTTCTTCCTTTCAATAATTTCTTTTTTCAGAATAACAACATCATCGCAGCCAGACAGGATGTTGGATGGAGAGGGACGACTCGATATGGCTCGCGGAGTGCTCATCAACACCAGGACTTGGCGCGGAGGGATGACGTCGAGAGCTGGTTCTACATGATCGTTGAAATGACAAAGGGATCACTCCCATGGTCAGCGGAGAGAGGTGAGAAAATATTCGTTAATAATTTGCACGCGAAATCCTAATAACTTCAAATTTTTAGATCGGGCCGCAGTCTACAACGCAAAACTGGCAGCACTCAGCAACCTGGACGACTTCCTTAACGGCTGCCCTCAAGGCTACAGGGAGCTGATTGGTCCCATCATCAAACTCAAATTCGAGGATGCACCTGCCTACAAGGAGATGGCCAGGGTGCTTGAGAGGGTAATCTATGGGTCAAATAATCAGTTTCTTAATTCATTTTGCAGATAATCACTGAACAGGGAATCGACAAGAAAGCAAAAATGGACTGGGAAATTGCCGAGGAACCAGAGGTGCCAGCTGAAGGCGAACAACAAATAGACAGCTTTCCTACTTCGACTACACAAAGACGTGTTTAGAACCAGATGAATCGAGATGCTAATTAGATAAACCTGTTGATATTTTTCTTCATTGTATATTTGTTTGTATATGTTCACTTAATTTTTTGTTGCCTGCTTATTTGAAATTGTATTGCTATTGCATGTAAATAAATTTTTAAAACTGTCGATTTTATTGTTTTAATTAGGTTAAGTGTTCAATCAGATTGAGCTAGCTTTCCTTAGTTCAACATTTGTGATTTTACAAATAAAGTCCTTTCCAAAATATATCTGGCTTATGAACCTCCAAAATTCTCAAAATTTTCGCCTTTGGCGCAGAAAGGGAAGAAATCTGGATTCTGAATCCAGGAAAAATCAAAGTCTAGATCCAGATTAAAATTAATCCATTAATCAAGATCCAAATTAATTCTCTAATTAAAATTTAGATGGAATGTTGACTGATTTGCAACTGATAGCGAGGGATCAAGAGGTGTATTTGGATAAAAGTTGTATTGGATAGATATTAAATGAGTTGGAGGGAAATAGGGAGTTGAAGGACTTGAAAAAATATTTTAACCCCCTTAGAGCTTCCAACCCCTTTAGAGCTTCATGCCGAAAGCTTTAATCAAACTTAAAATTAAAAGAGTGGATTTTAAATTTAAAAAAATTAAATTTTTAATAATTTTATTAAAATTATTATGTACTTGATACACATAAATTGTGATCAAATAATTTTGTAAATTTTATAAACTTCATTAAACAAAGATTAAATTTAATTTGTTTAATTCTGTATTTTTGAATACATATACACGAATTCTTTTCTCTTTATTTTTTAATTACTAATAATAATAATAACTCATAATTTATTGACTTTAGAATTAAGTTTTCGTTTGTACGTTTAAAATTTTGTCAAACAAATGCATTACAAATGCAATAATTTGTCATCCATTATTATTCATTATATGTATTTGTAAATATTTTAATAAAATAATTTTCATTTTTCTAAACTATTTTTTAAGAAAATGTCTTCATTAAATCAAGATTCTGTTAATTATCAGAATGCAATTCATAATGTTCAGGTTATAAATTTTATTAAAAATTAACTCAATAATTTTTTTTAACTAATTAGGCATTAGATGATTTACAAATAGTTGATGACCAACCTTGTATAGAGGGTAATTCGCAACCATTACAATGTTTTGCTTCTCTTGATACAAAATTTGAAGACAGAGGGGCTTTTATTACTGGATGTTCAAAGTTTTTTTTGTTTTAAAATTATTTAATTTTATATTTTTTAAAAAGATATATTGAAGAAGCAAATCGACAAGCAGAATTTGTTTGTTTTTTTTTCTTTAAATATTTTTTTAAATTATTATTTTTTTAGAATGAAATGTTAAATAAAGGATTTGAACATGCTGCTAATTTATATACTTGGAGATGTTGTTCTAGAGCTGTTCCAATGCCTAGATCAAATGATCAGCCAAATAGAGTTGAAATAAACGAAAAAATAGTTCAAGTACTTGGACCTGAAGTTCAAAAGTTGAATGAATTTATGAAATTTACTGTAGAGAAGATTTTTTGAAATTTTAAGTTTTTTTTTAATTTTTAGTCCTTGTCAATTGATCGTTTTATTGAAGAATTTCAATCAATTTCTCATCCAGAAAAACGTAAAGATTTTGTTTCTGAATCTCTTTTACTAATGATTGGCAAATTATTAAATATGTTTGTTGTTTTGGATGCATTAAAAGATATGAAGGTTTTTTTGTAAAAGTCGGTATTGTATTCCCTTTTTTTCTCGTTTTTTCATCTACCTAGAAAAAAGAGGAAGAAATGTTTTTTTCGATATTTCAGGGGTTTGCTGTAGGTGGACGATAAATTTTAATGTCTGTTTTTTTAATTTCTAATTTCCAAATTCAATTCGCCTGTTCGAATTTCGAGTCCAGTATTCGAAATAAATAAAATTTCTAATCATATTCGGACTCAGCACCCTCGATTACTTACTGGCAAACCTTTAAAATGTCGAAAAGGTATTTCAACATTTTTCTGGTAAATGAAAAAATGAGAAAAAGAGCAATACAAAACCAACTTTCATTTTTTTAATTTAAAGAAATTAATTTTTTAATTATTTCAGGCCTCGATAAAAAATGATCTTTCAACATTTCATAGGTTTCATATTATAAATATTTTTGGAAAAATTAGTGCTGAACCTTTTCTTTGTCAATCAACAATTTTTGAGACATAAGCCCTCATACTTTTCAATTCTCCATTTTTTAAGAAATTTTTGGTTAAAAAATCAAATCTTTTTTGGCTTTTCTATCAATATTGAAAGGCAAAAAATTATTTTTAAGAAAGGTTTGGTACACCCAGTCAATACAAAAGATAACTTTTTAAAGAAAAATTTAACATTTATTTTCAGAGCATCACAATCTCCAGAACACAGCCTTACTCTTTTCCTTGCCACTCAAAATAGAATTAAACAAACATTAAGAGAAAAAATTCAAAAAGTTTTTAAATTTTATTTTTTTAATTAAAAGAATTTTAGATTGATGCTTTTGAAGAAGTTTTGGCAGATTTAATAAATTTAAGTGTTCACTTTTTTGAACAAAAACTTTATACAAGTCCTGAAGAAAAGCATACTCATGTTAAGGTTTTTGACAATTTAAAATTAATTTAAATTTTTATTTTTTAAAAGGTTATCGCTTTTTGTTTTTATTTAATGAATGTTGAAATTTATAATAAATTGGAACAGAAAAAAAGAATTTTTATACAAAAAATTGATAAAATATTTAAGGTTTTTTAAAGAAATATTTTTATTAAAAATATTTTTAAATAAAAGTCAGTAGAAGTTGTCCCATTATTTGGGGATATGAATATTCTTCCCTTTACTTTTGTTTCTCAATGTAAACATCCAAATCAATGTGTTGGACAATGTAAATGTTATGATCCAAATAAATGGCCTTTATCTAATATTGAAGGTTTTTCTTTTAATGAAGTTTTTTCATTAAATTTAAATAATTTAAGCCGAAAAATGTCATGTAAATATTATAAATAAATTAAATCAAATAAGAGAACAACACGACCAATATATAACACATTTGGGAAAAATTAGAAATGAATTTTCTATTTATAATAGAAAAGGCCCTTTAAATGATAATGAAAATAAAGAAATTGCTGAATTGACTTTAAATGGATTACAATTAATTTGTTTTTGGACTAGTGATGTTGTTGAAACTGTAAGGAATATTTAAAAAGGGGAATACTTTTTTTATTTGTTCATTAATGCTAAAGCTTTGAATTGTGAGGGGATTTATTTTATTTTCATTTTTTTAAATTTTATTTTTATCCTTTCCTCTAAAATTAAAAATTTTTTTTTCTTAGATTGCCTGGAAATTATTAAACCCTTCCAATCACAGAAAGAATCCAGAATGTCCAGAAAATGCTGAAACTTATGAATTAGCAACAAAATATAATTATAATAATGAAGAAAAATCGGCAATTGTTGAAGTATTTAATTTAAAAATAATTTTTTTAAAAATAATTTAAAAGATTATTTCGATGGTTAAAGGAATTCAGTCATTACTTGGACAAATGGAAGATGAATTTTGTGTAGCAATTAGACAACATATTTATGTTGAAATGCGGGATTTTGTTGGGGGAACATTAATTGAATTACAAACAAAAGCTTTAAAACATAAAAAGGATGTTTTGTCATGTATTTTAACAGCAATAATTGAGACTTGTTCTGATCAATCAATGATTGTTGGCAATCAATTGGGAAAGTTTAGTTCTAGATCCTCAGAACTTTCATCTTCTTCAAAATTATTAAAAAAAGGAAAGAAATTAGAAAATAATATTGGTTCAATGCCTGATTTACGTGTTGGAAGAAGGAATGTTGTTCCAAGTAATACACAAGTAATTATTTTATTTTTTTATTTATATTACATTTAAGGGTGTGTTTCCATTTAAGAATGGTAGGAAAGAAAAATTAATAAGAATTTATGTATGTACAGTGTCGATTTATACCCGAACAGATCCAAAATTCTAAGATTCGTGTCTGTTAAACATAAATTTGTTTGTTTAATTGAATATTTACCTTCCTAAAAACAACCAAAATATAAGGATTTAGATAATGTTTAACTTCAAATTAGTTTAAATTTAATTTTTTTAAAAAAGTTATATTTGGCTCGAACAATGTTAGAATCTATTATTTATGAAAAATCTGCTTCTACTGGCCGTAGAGTTTATAAAAAAGAAATTGATGAAAAATATAGAGAAAAAATGGTTAAATAAATTTTAAATTAAAAAAATAAAATACTTCTTTTTAGATTAATTTTTTGCGTTCTTCTTATTTTTGGCCAATTCTTTTAGAATTTAAATTTTCTTTAGAAAAATGTGCTGATCTTTCTCAACTTTGGTACTAAATAATTTTTTGAATTTGATTTTTTTTAAATTTTAAGGTTTCGAGAATTTTTTCTTGAAATGGCAATGGGGACAAGAATTCAGGTAAATTTAAATTAATTAAAGGATATTTAATTTAAAGTTTCCAATTGATATGTCTTTACCTTGGATTTTTGTTAATTTTGTATTAGATTCTTTTGATTCTTCTTTATTAGAATGTGTTTTATTTCAATTAGATTTATATAATGATGCTGCTTCTTTTGCTTTAAAAATGTTTAAAAAACAATTTTTATATGATGAAGTTGAAGCTGAAGTTTTTTAAAAAATATTTTCATTTAAATTAAAATATTTTTAAAGGTAAATTTATGTTTTGATCAATTTATTTATAAATTATCCGAAGCTGTATTTACACATTATAAACAATTGGCAGCAACGTAAATTTAAAAAAAATAATTAAAATTAAAAAAAATATTTATTTAAAGAATGTTATTAGATAAAGAATTTAAATCTGATTGTACACAATATTTTACAATAAGAACACCTTCAGCCGTTAAATTTGAAACTTTGCTTAGACAAAGACATTTTCAAGTAAAATTTTGAAAAATAATTTTTTTAAAAATTCTTTTAAAGCTTCTTGGTCGTTCAATAGATTTAAATCGATTAATATCTCAAAGAATAAATTCTTGTATTCTTCGTTCATTAGAAAATGCAATTACAAAATTTGAATCAGAAGGATTATATTTTATAATTGTTTTGGATAATTTATTGGAAGTTAATCGTTTGTGTCACAGACTTTTAAATGAAAATTTGGGGTCTTTGGCTAATTTTGATGATTTATTTTTTGAAGCAAATCGTCAAGTATCTTCACAAAATGGAAGAATAACTTTACATATTTATTCTGAATTAAATGATGATTTATTTCCAAATTTTTGTTATAATACAACAACTAAAAGATTTGTTAGGGGGAAGGTAAAAAATAAATAAATTTAATAGAATTTTGTGACGAGCACATATAAACGTTTGTAGTTAAGTTGGTTAGTGTTTTGTTTATTTTGAGAAGTATTGTTTTGAATTACCGGAGATGAAGATAAACTCTCACAGACCTGTTGGGACATTTCCATGGCCTTTTAACCTCTAAGAAGTTCTGATCCGGTTTTTAGTTTTTGAAAAAGATTTTAAATTTTGATAAATTCTTTTTTTTCTTTAGGTTAATTATAGAAATCCGCCAGATAGAGGGCGTCCACCAACTATAGCTGCTCAATATGAATTTGGATCAAAATCTTTAAATGCTGCTTTTTATAATCTTTCAATGATGTATAGCGGTTTTATTGGTATTCCACATTTTAGAGTAATGGCTAAATTAATTGGTTATCAAGTAAATTAAATAAATTAAATATTTAATTTAAAAATTCTTTCAAGGGTATTGCAGCTATTCTTGGGGATTTATTAAGCTCGGCACGAAGATTATTAAATGACCAAATTAAAACACACGTTAGAGTTTTGTTTGGATTAGCACCAAAACAATGTAAATTGCAGAGATTTGATTATGGAATTGAAGGTAATATAGTTATTTTAAAAATAATTCATTTGAGTGTTTGAAATAACGATTTTGGTTGTTGGTCAAAAAAATGTCGTCAGTAAATGAGGACAACCTCGATAATAAAATTATATTTTTTGTGCTATTACTAAACACCATCTTCGATCGAACCATATAAATATGGTCCAAGAAATAGTCCAAATGGTCCAAAAATGAATTTTGGCTATGGTTTGAGAAATTACTGTAAAGTAATGAAAAGAAATTTTGAACAAAGATAGCTAACATTCTTGGTAATAAAATGAAAAAAAATCAGTTACGTGGTTTTTTTAACTCAAGGGAGCTCAAAACTTGTTTACAACTTAAGTATATTTTTTAATTTTTAGGTAATCTTCAATATTTTGTTCATCAATTAAGAACATTTTCTGGTTATATACATTTACATAAAGAATTTTGTCAATCTTTGCGTGAATTTGGAAATATTGTAACATTTATACTTGGATTAGAAATGGGTTTAGCTCATGAAGAAATGTTTGATTTACTTGCTGCATCTACATTTACTGGCCAAATTCCAAAACCTTATGCAAGATGTGAATTTTTTTAAATTATTTTTTTACTTTAATTTTTAGCTTCTGAAGAACGAGAATTAAAAATTCAAAGATTAGAAGCAAAATATTCTCGTCTTCAAATTTCTTCTATTTGTCAACAATTTGGAACTGAATCTGTAAGAAAACAATTACCTATTCTAAATATTTTTTTTTATTTTTAGCAAGCAAAAGTTGCTGCTGAAAGTGAATTATTAACAAGAGAAAGGCTTTGTTGTGGACTTAATATTTTTGGAATGTAAAAAATTGAAATTAATTTTTAAAAATAATTTAATTTTTTCAAAGGATTTTGAATCGTTTAAGAGATACTCTTTTGGCAGATCCTATTTGGATTGGACCAAAACCTTCAAATGGAGTTATGTGGATAGATGAATGTGTTGAATTTCATAGAATATGGTTATTTTAATTTAAAATATTCATTTTTATTTATTTTTTAAGGTCAAGTTTTCAATTTATTTTATGTCTTGCCTATTTTAATCAAACAAATATTAATCAAAATTCTGGCCAATCTACAGAAGATATTTATAGTACATTAAAGAAAGGAATAACAGCAACAGCAAATGCTAATAATTCTCCAACTATTGTAGAAAGTCTTTGGCAGGGTTTAAGTATTGAAGAATTGTTTGGTGATGGTATTTATTGGGCGGGATGTTTATTAATTCGTTTATTGGGCCAACATAGAAGATTTGAAGTTTTAGATTTTTGTTATCATTTACTACGTGTTAACAGAACTGTTGGGGCACAAATTGAAGGAAAAGAACATGTAGAATTGGGTTCTTCTCAACAAAAAATTGTTTTTTTTTATTTTAATAATTATTTTAAAAATAATTTTAAAGGAAATTAGTCAATTAATTGACAGAATACGTCGAGTTCAAGCTCAAAACAATCAACTTTTTACTATTTTAAATAATTATGTTATTAATGAAAATAATGAGCAAACAATTAGACATTTTCCCCCGCCTATATACCAACCACAATCCCAACATTATGGAAATGGGGAAGCACACGAAGGAAGTGCACTTTGATGTAAAATATTAATTAACTGACATTCACTTTTTCTGAAAGAAACCTTAAATTACTAAATTTAAATTATTTTATTTTTTCGTAAACTTATATTTTTATATTTATAATTTATATTACAAGAAAAATTGTACAAGAATATTTTTCTAGCATTCTAATAAATTTTGCACGAATTAAAATAACATTAAAATATATTAGATAGATCTAAAAAATGGGTATATATTCTTTGATATGCTTGTATTTTTCCTACGTAATTTAAATTCTTTGGTCGGTTTCTTCTGGGAGATTTGTTGTTTTGTAAGGGTTAGCACTGGGGACTTTAAGAATAAACAAATAAAAAAACATTTCCAATTAAATTTTATTTCCGAAAATTAAATATAATATTGGCGAGCGTGGTTCCGCCAGCAAAAGCCAAAAAGAACAATAGGGGGAAAAAAAAGGAACCACTAAAAAGAGAATATAAAGCTTTATATCTTTCTCAAAGTGGGAGGAGTTTCTTTTCCAGTCGAGAGTGATGTATTACATCCATCCCTCCTGAAATTTAAGTTGTCCTCAACTTTCCATTAAATTTAAAATTTTTGATGTGTTGACATTTTGATGTTTTGACTTTTCGGTATTTTGAACTTTGAGTAATTTTTCCACTATTTAAACCCAAAAAAAAATTTTCATTTATTTATTTATTCATTTATTTATTTTTTTCCCATTTTAAATGCTCTTTTTTAGTTATATGTATATATGGCGCTTTTAATTATTCTATTTCTTAAAGTTTTCATATAACTAAAATGGTTTTGTAATTCTCATTAATTTTTCAAATTAATTTTCTTTATTAATATTTTTGGGTTAATTTGATTTAATTTCCGAAAAAAAGGGTTTTTTGTTTTATTTGATTTGCTTTTTTGTTGTTGTTGTTTTGTAAATGGAGTTGTCAAGTTTGTTGTAGTTTTTGTTGTCTGACAGATTTGGTAGTATTTGATTAGATTTTGTAGTTGTCTTGTTCTTAGTGTCTCTTCTTGTCTTTATTCTGGCATCTTTTTTCCTTATTATTTATATTATATCGAAATTACAATTGTGATATTTGGGTGGGTATATATAAAATGACATTAAACGTTTCGATCAATCTACTATTTAAAGTTCGAGAAAACTAAATTAGATTTTTTTTTCTGCTGCATTCGAACTTTATATAGTGAGATTTAATCTCAAAAAAAAATTTTTTGTTGTGTGTATTTTATCTAATTATTGTTTATTATTTATTTTTTCCCATTTTCTGAATTAAATACACACTACCAAACAATACTTTTCTTATACATATAAATAAGAGGCAATAAATGGGCATATTTAAGGTTATATCATTTGAAAATTTAAATTATTTTTTTTTAAATACTATTTCACTATTTACTTTGATATGACCTTAATTATGTGCCAAATGTGGTTGATTATCAGGGTTTAAGAAAAGTTTTGTTTGTATTTTTATTTTCTTTTATTTTCAATTAATTGTATGTGTAACAGTGACCAGTGCTTGGGTATGGCTCGGATATACAGGTGGTGGGTCTTCGATCTACGCCGTCTGGTGGTGGGTCTTAGATCTACGCCGTCTTTGGTGGTGGGTCTTAGATCTACGCCGTCTTTGGTGGTGGGTCTTAGATCTACGCCGTTTTTGGTGGTGGGTCTTAGATCTACGCCGTTTTTGGTGGTGGGTCTTAGATTTACGCCGTTTTTGGTGGTGGGTCTTAGATCTACGCCGTCGTTTTAGTTTCTAATTAAAAGTTATTCAGAATATAATCAAGAATTGGTCACTGTTACCCCATTTATCTAAGATGTCCGAAAAATAATCCAAATATTTTGACTTTCTAAATGCGTCGCTAAGCTGTTATATTAACATTTTTTGAAAGCGTCAAATCTAGATTTTTTTTTGAAACAGTTATTTAAATGAAAATTTCGCCTGCGTCGCTAAAAATTTAAATTTGTCTAAACTAATTTTAAATATTACAATTTAATATTACAATTTAAACGAACTACAAATATATAACTTCAAAATCACATACACATAACAAATGGATAATTTATTATTTGAATTTTTTGTAAAACGTAAGTCGGAAAAAAAAAGCGGAATAAAATATATAAAAAACTTAAAAAATTGTCTCTGTTACAGAAGCGTGTAAATAAAAATTTTAGACGAAAATATTATTTTTGGTTTTTCTCTTTTTCAATTTTTTTGTTTATTATTATTTTTTTAACAAACCACATACAAATAAGAACATAAAGAGTTAAAAATATTTATTTTATTAAAAAATTATTTTAATTATTTTTGTATTTTATTTTATCTTAATGTTTTTTTGTGTTTTTATATTTTTATTTCCTAATTCTAAAATTTTTGTAGTATTTTTTTTATTTTTTCAATTTTTTATTTTATTTTATTATTTTTTAAATGATATTTTTAATTTTCATATTTATCTAAAAAATATTTTTGGGGTAGTATTAATTACTTTATTGACAGGTAATTTCGGGATTGGAATTTTATGATTTATGTATGGTATTTTATTTTTATTTCCCTTTAAATTTTCTCGGACTTTCTCGAGTATATGTCCCATTTTATTTTCCCCACGTAAAGGTTTTCCCACTTTAAGTTGGTCAATTGTTATACCCACTCCCCATCGTGTATCAAAGGGATTTACTTCAATCAGTTGCATATTATTTGTTTCAAGGAGGTATTGTGCCAAAATTTTATTTTGGTGAAATTTGGCATTTACCGCTTCAAAAAGCATCCCTTCACTCACCTCATCCCATTCTTTTCTTTTAAAATTTTTAATAGTTCTGCTACATTTCTTAATATTATGGGGGTGAATTTCTAACATTATTTTCATTTTACTCATTTCATCCCCAAAAAACCAAGCTTTCGAAAATGCGTATGCCTGTTCACTACATGTGAATTGAATTCCCCAAACATTAACGGGTGACGGGAAAAAATTACTAAAGGGGTGGTTTCTACCATAAAAAGGGATTACCTGTTTACCTTTATACTCAACTTTTGGGAACGGGTGTCCTTCCATTACCTGTCAAAAAAAATAAAAAAAAATAGAATTTTCCTTTATAATTATTACTAAAAGACATTTTTAAATTATTTTTATTTAATTTGTTTTTTTTTCTTTTAATTTTATTGAGGGCCGATTTGGGGCTGGCCGCATTTGGTACATTTAAATGCTTCTTCTAGTGGTCGGAACCCTTTATTTTCCCACATTAAAATAGCTTCTCTTCCTAAAATAATTTCGGAAAAGCATTGTCCCGTTTTTATTTTTCCACTTACAATTCTAAATGTTATTTTAGCCTGATTCTCCCCATCAAAAATATCGGCCTCTGCCCTGCCCACTATTTCTAAAGTTTGGTTCCCCTCCCACATATTAGTTGGTTCAAAAATTTCATAAACTAAATTTGCATTTTCCACGTGGAGGGGTGTTATGTAATTACATTCGAAAGTGTTTGAAATTATACATTTTGTAAAATAATAGTCAACTAATATTGGTCGGACAATTTCTATATTTTCAATTAATTTTTCTTCCCCAAATTTTCTTTTTCTATTTATTTTAACTATTTATTTCTCTAATTGTTACTTACGTAGGTTGTTGTGTTCTACTAAAAATTATTTGTTAAAAAATTTTAATTTATTTTTCCTTTAATTTTAAATTGATTATTTTGATATGTTTTTATTTTATCTATTTTCCCTTTATTTCTATTTTATATATTTCTAAGTGGTGTTAAATAGTTTTGTATAAGTTTTTTCGCTTTATCCATGTGTATTTTTGTTATTTTATCTGTATTTATTTCTCTAATTGTTAAAACTGGGGTATTAATTTCTATAATTCTATATGGGCCATTCCATTTAGGTCTAAATTTATGCGCTTGTTCACCAGGTAAATGTTCAATTTTTACTAATATCAGATCATGAATTTTAAAATTATGTTCTTTCCTATCCTTATCTGCGTTATCTTTTTGTGTTTTCTGTGCTTTTTCAATAGATATCTTTACCGAATCCCAAATTTGTTTTAATCCTTTTACATTTTCCTCTAGGTAATCTGACATATCTTCTTCTCGCGTATTTCCTTCCCAATTACTAAGTCTTAAATCTATGGGCATTATTGGGTCCCTAAAAAACAAAATAAAATACGGGGATTGTTTTGTGCTTGCCTGAACACTTGTGTTATACGCAAATACTACACTTTGTAAAAAATGACCCCAATTATCCCCTTTTATATTTACATAATTGAACAACATGTCGGCTATCACTCTATTTAACCTCTCTGCCATTCCGTTGGACTGAGGGAGATAAGTAGTTGTCTTTCTATGCTTGAATCCATATAATTTGGCTAAGTCTTGAAAGATATTACTTATGAATTGTCTCCCATTGTCCGACACGACTGACCTTGGACAACCAAATTTTGTTATAAAATTGTTAGAAAATGCCTGTGCCACTGTTATAGCTGTTTGATTTTCCATTGGCACTGCTACTAGCCATTTAGAAAAAGCATCGACGACCGTAAAAATATATTTATATCCCTCTATTGTTAAAGGTAACGGTCCCATAATGTCTATGTGAATACGTTCAAATGGGGATTTTGGTACTGTAATTGGGAATATCGGTTCTTTACGTATATTACTTGGCATTATTTTTCTCTCCTGGCATTTAATACACGCACTCACATAATTATGGACATCCGATGACAATCTTTTCCAAAAGAAACGTTTTTTAATTTTTTCTAATGTCTTGGCAATTCCTAAGTGCGCGCCTAAAAGTTCATTTTCATGGCATTCTCGCATTATTCTTTCGCGTAGTGTTTGTGGTATAGCAATAACTGGGTATGAATCTTCTTCGCTTTCCATCCACCGATATAAAATTCCGTCAATCACAGAAAAATTTTCAAGAGCCTCTCGATTTTCTTCTGAATTTTCTTCTTCAATATTTATATTATCCTTTTCTTTTAATACTTTTACTATTTTCATATAATTTCTATCT